CTACCGGGGTGCGGCGTTGCGACGTGGTTTTGTGGTCGCTAAACAGGGCATGTCGCCAAACATGGACATGGGGTCGCTAAACCGGGCCCCCTACCGTACTGCTGTAGCTATGCGTACCACAGCCGTATGATTGGTCACACAAGATACCACCCCCCCCCCCCACCCTCTCCTGGACCGATTTTCAAAGCTCGATTTTTACTCTCCCGCAAAAACAGAGTGGCAGATCGATCTCAAAAACCGCACAGCAGTGTTGGAACCGATCTCGTCGAGGGCTTGCCTTACCCGCGTCGTTTAATTTTGGGCATCGTCTTTTGTCGTCGTAGCGTAGTCGAGCTGTGAAATTCGGTCCAGGGGGTGTGGTATCTTGTGTCAAGTCACCTACGGCAGGCACTGCTGCTTGTAGAGGGTTGGTTGTAAGCTCAAGTACTGCTGTAGATACGATGCCGACTCCATGGCTGCATCGTAACAGCGTATGTGCCGGCTGCGGCACAGCTTGGTTCTGGGGGTATGGTACAGCAGAAAAGGCAACAGCGAGCTCGTGCCCGCTGTACAAGATCGGTGCCCGGTGCTGCATTGGGGAGCCGACGGTCCGGCGAACTGAGAATGGAACGCGACCAGGCTGCTGTGTTCGGCACCAGCTTGGTACATCCGTTGTCCATGTAGACTACTTGTTTCGCTCTTCGCAACTAACTGGTGTCGAAGCGAAGCGACGTTTGCCGTCCATCTTCCTGAACACGGCACCAACAGGAGTAGGAGGAGGCGTGGCTCGCACGCTGCACTCTCAGATCCGGTCACCACCCTACTGCTGTGCAGCACCCGCCGTTCGTCCGATCATACGTGTACGTTGAATCATAGACAGACGACAACAAGCAGGCAAGAGCATACGTCTAAATATAAACAATAACGTGCACAGCGGCCTTGAAGCTTGATAGCGTCGAATCAGCCGCTGTTGCAGGGCTCGTGAGAAACTCTTCTGGTACTGCGGTACCCGTACAGGAGTTCAAACACGCACACCCGCTCGCTGCTGTTTTTGCACACTTGTCTGCCGTTGACTATTAGAACGAACAACATACCTTGATCGATCTCTGTTCCTTGGCTCTCCCGCGCGACAGCCTCCAGCGAGGATATCCACCCGCCCCCCGGCTTTCTCCTCCCACTAACTGTCATTGCACCCGTGGTCGGTGGATCAAAGAAGACGCACTGCTGTAAAACAGACGAGTGTGTCCGAATCCGATTTGTGTCCGTGACGCGCGCGGTTCGGGGTTCGGGGTTCAATCCGGCGAAAAAAAGTGCGGCGGAATTACATTGTGGGTTTCTCGCCGCCGCACCTCCGGTGCTCTTCATCAATTCCATTTACCTGTCAATCAGCACAGCAACAGTAGATGATCACAGCAGCACCTGCTGCAGTGCGCGATGGAACAGCTGGGTCCGGCGTTGTCGGAGTTCTACGCCCCCACGACGAGCAATGAGCGCAAGCAGCAGCTGGAGCAGGGCCTGCACGCCTTCCAGGCGCAGCCCAACGCTCACCTCACCAGCCTGGACATCCTCGCCTCTATCGTGAGTGAGAGACAATGAGATGGCAGGGAAATCCTTTCGATGCATTTTTGTTGTTGTTGTGGTTTACACACACAAAAGCAGAGATAGCTCAGCATCGCTCGCGGCGGAGGAGTTGTTTATGCAATCGATGTGGGCACGATGCCACCCCATCATAATCACAATGTTGTTGTTCAACATCCAACAGAGGTTTGCCTCTCTCTTGTACTAAAATAAGTCAGCTGAAAAAATGTCGATGTTCCGTCTCAGCAGTCATGTCTGCTCTCTGGTCCCTCCTTGCGCGTGCGGGTAGAGGTACATCACAGGTACTGCAGCTGCCGTATCAAATATCTTTTCTGTTCTATCACTATGTAGGTGTAACGAGTACGCTGCACCTCATGCACGCAGTTGGCATGACGTGTTTTGCTGAGTACCTGCTGGGCAAAATCCTCCGGAAGAGTATGAAGTAGAAGCGAATTACTACTTCGAGTACAACATTTACTCACGTGACAAGCAAGCAGCGACACCGCGAGAGAGAGATTTCAACGGATCTCAACGCGGTACAACACCAGTAAAGCTGTTGTAGAGCAGCAGCACCGCTTACCTAGAGTATTGTTTCGGGCCAATCGCGGTCAAACGATGCACGCGAGATGTGTGCCTGCCCGCCCACCCCCACGCCGTCCTAACACCCTCTGGAGGAGCTCCAACGGGCAAGTCGTAACCTCACCTTCTTACTATTATAAGTACGCGGTCGCCCTTGTGCCCCTATCTACTTTGCGGGGTTTTTCTATTAAGTTAACATGTTGGATAAAGCGTTCAATCGGGGAAGTTGGGTGAGGGTCAGGGTTAGGATATAAGGGCCTGCGTACATCCCCTCCCTGTTCTATTTCCTCATGACACTTCCACTTCTCGCGAAGGCGGTCCATTTTGCGAAGCTCCCCCGTTCGCGCCCCCAAGCCAGATGTTTTATGTAGCGCCCCCCAAACTCGGGGCGCCAATCGCTATATGCATATAGAGTGAACGACAATCGCCTGCCAGCATCAGCACGTGTACTCCCTCCGCCCCACCCCACCTCCACCGCTGACTCCTACCCTCTCCTCTCAGGAGTCAGAAGCGGGCCCTCCATGATGCAACAACAGCAGGCGAAAGGCGGCCTGCTGTTTGTTTTTCCCTGTGCGCGTGCATCTCGTTGGTCTCCTTTCCCTCTTCGACACGAATGGCACAAGGCCACTGTTCGGCGAAAAACCACAAACAACGCTCAAGCCCGCCCTTCCCCTGCTGCCGCCGACTATAGTACCTAATCCGCGTAGTTTCTTCCGACGTCCTTTTGTCCGTCCCACCCGGGCCCGCAGCATGCTCCGATACGAAGGTCTGCCGAATGTACCAAAACTGCCCTGCGGCTAAATTACAACACTGCGACCATTCATCGGTCGTGACCACTCTCCTGGTAGCCCTCTACAACTCTTGCGGCCATGCATTTGAGTACCAGTACCCTCCTCCCGCACCCTCGGCCGGCGCAATGATCGTGCGTACCCCCCCCCCCCCCTTGCCCGAACGCAGGGCCAACGGCGCGAACAGGAAAACCTGTTTGTGCTCTACTTCTGCGGCACGACCATCGAGGGGGGCATCCCCAAACGGTGGAACGCGATACCCAAGGAGGAAAGGCTCCACGTCAGGAAAACCCTTTTCCAGGTTAGGGGTTACGGGTGCCTTTGGCGGGGTGTGCTAAGGAAAAACAGGGGAAAAAAAAAACAACCCCCCCCCCCCTGTTATTTTACATGCTCAGGGAAAAACAATGTTGTGGAACAAAATCTTGGGAATTCAACCCTCCTGTGGCGGCAAAGATTCCTCCCTTTGTTTTCCTAAATAAGGGGGGCGGGGTTCCAAAAACACACATACCTCTAGGTTGTTGGGGGGGGGGGGAAGGGA